ACAAGTGGGTTATTTTACAACAAAAGAACCATGCTCTGCTGTCGAACCGATCCATCGATTCAGATCGCAAACTGATTTATTTGTCAGTGGGAATGAAGCCCAAACACTCAAACCACTATGCCACAAAATACCTGGGTTTGGTTGTGGAGGGCAGAGTGTGGTGTGTAACAAGGACTGATGCCAAAACTGTCTCCCCAGGTGAGCTTCGTTTGTTCATTTATTCATTCATTTATTTCACAGATTTCTATCCCGCCCACAATGGGATTCAAGGAGAGGTTCTGATAATTTAAAAAGCGAGCTAAAACGTTGATTACAAAAGTTTTAAAAAGTAATCAAATATTGCTAATATTAACACACAAGTTAAAAACAGCATAGTTAAAACCAGTACAAACCATGAAAGCATAGCCATTTGTAAGCCTTTTGGCTGAAGAATGGGGTATAAATACTACTACTACTGCTGCTACTACTACTACTAATAATAATAAAGACAGTGCACCACACTACACAAATAAAATCCATCCACTAAATACAAATGTCTTCAGCTTTCACTTCTTTTCCTCCGCTTAATGGAAAAAGGTAATTTTTAAGGACTATTGACAATTTAGGGTTAACTCTCGGCATCCTTCCTCACTTGCATCCCAAGTTGTGCATGTTTACATCTTTCCTGCAGAGGTAAGCAGTGGGGAAAACAAACAAAAGGGCAGTTATTTTAAGCCTTGTAAATCTTAATAAGTTCCTGTACTCAAAGGGCTTAGGGGCAAGTAACAGGATTCCACAAAGCCTTTTGCTCTTTGCTCAGCAAACCCTCCCTGGAATTAGCTGAACAGGCCAGGAGGAGGCAGCTTCCCCACAAATGACTTTATTGTTTTTCATTTGTGTACATGATGTTCCAAGTGGGGTCATTTTACTTTGGAGATCGAGATGGAGGAGCAAGAAAAACAGGAGCCGGTGGAATCGGACACTTTAAAAAAGACCCATCACACACTTATGAGAAACTGCGGGGAAGAACTGCAAGAAAATATTTTCTATGACGGGCAAAAAAATAAATAAATCCATTATTTCTCTGTAAGCCATCCTTAACACACAAAATATGTGCCGTGCTGTGCGCCTTCAAGTTATGGTGACTCTAAGGAAAACTCATGACATGGTTTTCTTGGCATGTTTCTTCAGAGGGGGGTTGCCATTGCCTTCCACTGAGGCTGAGAGAGAGTGACTTGCCCAAGGTCACCCAGTGGGTTTCCATGGCTGAGTGGGGATTTGAACCCTGACCTCCAGAGCCATAGTCCAACACTCAAACCCCAACACCACACTGGGCAAGTTTTTTCTAAGGGGGTTTGCCATGGCCACCCTCTGAGGCGGAGAGAATGTGACTTGCCCAAGGTTGTTGTTATTGTTGTGTTCCTTCAAGTTGATGACTTATGCTGACCCTATCATGGGGCTTTCTTGGTGTGTTTCTTCAGAGGGGATTTGCCATTGCCTTCCACTGAGGCTGAGAGTGTGTGACTTGCCTAGGGTCACCCAGTGGGTTTTCATGGCCAAGTGGTGATTCAAACCCAACACTCAAACCACTACCCCACGCAGGCTACTACACAAAACATACATTTTATTGATTCACATTCCAACTTTCTCCCAATATCGGACCCAAAGCAGAAGTGTCAAATCATGAAAACCTTTGTGATAGAACTTTCCTTGATCTTGTTGTTAAAATTATGCTGTTCTGTGGCCTAGAAAGCATGATATGTCCAGCTGAAGATGAAATTTTGGGAACTGAACAATCAATTTTGACAAAGATGGCCATGGTCAGAGCCAGGAATAATACTATGCTCTAGTTCAGGGGTAGGCAACCTTTTTGAGCCAGGGGCCGGGTTGCT